ATACATATGTGAAGTTTAACAGTAAGATATGAAGGCAGTAACTATTCCCTGTTGTTGGTTTCCAGCCTATCCCTTGACTGTTAAAAAAAAAAGATTAAACATAGTCATGTAATTCATAAGTAAAATTTAAAAAATCAGGGTTATAACTCCATCAGATCATTAAAATATTGCACTATAGGTCAACTTTTGAGTTCTCAAGAATGCTGCATCAGGCAGGGCATTATGGAACTTAGGTTGGGTGGAGGAAGAGAAAAGCCCCAAAATTATCCTGGCCAGATGTTGACTGGACTTTGGCATCTGTTAAAATAGCTCACCTTTTGTGTGTGTGATGTTTTGGTGTCCCAGTAAAGTTATGACCCATTCCTGATCCTTGATTGTGAAAATGACAAGGTATGTGATAATGTTCTGGTATCCATTCCTTATGATCCATTGATCTTTTGTGCTCCAGTGATAATAAAGAGTGGTATTTGGGGAAAACCTCTAAAAATGTATATAAAGCAGTGAGTGACTGGTGTTCCAGAATACTAGCATAGACTTGGCAGTGTGTCAGGTCAGTGAAATAAAAAAATCCAAACTAGGACAGCAAAGGCATTGTTCTTATCCTCATTGCAGGAAGTCTCTTTTGTCTCTGGCCCTTGATCCTCTTCCAGAGTACTTTACTGGAATTTCATTTAGATGAACAAGTAATATATGGTCATAACAACTGGAAAAAGGAACAAAATGGAGAACAGTGTTGCATATACTGATTTCTCTAAAATGAGAAACCAGTATATGTAACATTGAATTTCTTCTGTCTTGTATTAAAACCTCCTGCTCATCCATACCTTCTTTTTCCTTATCTTCTCCCTGACCCACAGACTGTCTGGTAATTTAAATTCTGTGTATGATGTGTTAGAACCATTTTGCACAGCATGGAAGGCTGAACTATATGGTGGTTTAACAAAAATGTAATCAAAGTACAAGTTGACCTTTTGCTAGTGTTGGGTAATGCAGATATATCACGGTCAGTGCAGTCAAGGTTATTGATTTATGGGGAGGCGTTCTTTTCCCAAATTAAGCCACCCAACTGTTCCACCATTTGCAAAGAATAAGGTGCTCAGTTTCTTCTTCTGTTGCCTTCTTTCTTATTGGCAGTGCTTAACATTCTTGCAGAGCCGAGCACTACTATGACTGACATGGTTTTTATGGAACCATTGCTCAGGTCTTGTCAATAGCATAGCTTTACATTTGTTCTCATGAGGAAGTGCCAGTCTCTGGAATCTGTTGCAATGGAAAACCTGATCAATTATAATCATGCAATTGAGACTAATTAATATGTAATGCAAGGTCAGCATTGTTCTGTATGTCAAATGTTACAAGGTGAATAACGGTAAAATTTTGATAGCTGTTGTCGTTTTCAAGCCTAAAACTAGTTTTTGGTATGTTGACACATGCTATATCCTCCACTGGCATTACATTCTATATTTCTTACACAGTAGTTTTTAAATGTGTTCATTTCCCACTTTTTGTTGATGTAAAATAGCTTGAATGTGAATCTGAAAATGTCTTCTGTTTAGACTGTAAAATAGCTGTAAATATTTTGAATTTTATAGCGGTCGAAGAAGGGAGTTCTCCCTTTGTTACATCTTCTTTCTAGCAGAGATAGTAGTCATGGGGCTTTGATATACAGTACTGTACTTCCTTGCACTAATTTGTGCACACTCATGTCCATAGCTGTATAAAATAACATGGGAACAATGGGGAGATGGGTGTGTGTCAGGAGAAGAGCATGAATTAGAGAAGAGGGCAGGATGTATTGGAGCATGGCTTTGGGGTATCGCACGGCTACCACAATGATGATGAGAAAATTAAGAGAGGGAAGAGTTGTAGCAGCAGGAAGCTGATGGCTACCGAAGCAGCCTGAGAGAATTCCACTACCATTAACTAGAAGAGAATCCAGTTGGGGCTAGACTGACCAGAAAGCCTTATAAAATTCCCTCTTCTTGATTAGCCAGGCAAATCCTATAGTACACTTTAAAGCTCCCCTCTTGTACATACTAATGTTTTATATAGATGCAGATCTGCAAGCACAATGTACGGTGTGTTTGCAAAGCATCTTATAAAGAAAGAGCTATTGGGGGAACAATCCTGTATTTGTGTTACACACAAGTTACAGCTGTGCTATTACCATGTTGGTAAAATGGATGCTGTAGCAAATATATACTCTATTGATGAAGGAAGTGAGAAAACATACAAGAACATCGTCAAATAGCATGAAAATTGCAGACATATCCACTGCATCAGTAGAAATGCTGCTCTAGCTCTTTACATCAGGAGTTGTACAGGCACTACGGCCTATATACTGCCCATGGTTAAATAGCCAGTGAACACGCTGTTATAGCTGCACACTCTGAGTGTCAGCACATAGACAGCACAGAAGACAATGGCACAGCATTCTCGCTCAGCTGCCCCCAGCTATACGGCTAAAACAACTGCGCTATTGCCATTCTCCAAGCATTCCTAGAGGAAGAGGCTCAAATCTGATTACAGTGGTGCCTCGCTTAATGATTGCCGTGCATTATGATGAATCCGCTTTATGATGATCTTTTAGCAATCGCAAAACGATGGTCTAGATGGGGGAATTTCGCTTAGTGACGATCGGTTCCCTGCTTCGGGAACCGATTTTCGCTTTACGACGATCAAAAACAGCTGATCGTCGGGTTTTCAAAATGGTCGCCGGGTGCTTAAAATGGCTCCCCGCTGTGTTTAGGGATGGATTCCTCACTATACAAGCAGCGAAAATGGCCGCCGTATGGAGGCTCTTCACTAGACAGTGAGTTTTTACCCCACTGGAACACATTGAACCGGTTTCTATGCGTTTCAGTGGGGTGTTTTTATCTCACTTTACGATGTTTTCGCTTAACGGTGATTTTCCTGGAACGGATTGTCGTCGTTAAGCGAGGCACCACTGTATACTTTTCTTAACCAGTGTTTTATGAGCCCAGCAGATAGATATTTTAAAAAGGAAAAGGAAACACAGCACACACAGTTTCCTGGTGAGGATTAGTGCAGAAAATGCGCATAGCCCTCCTAGGACCAAAGCTTAGGACTCACTGAAGGGAAAAAAAATTTTCCTGGAACGGATTGTCGTCGTTAAGCGAGGCACCACTGTATACTTTTCTTAACCAGTGTTTTATGAGCCCAGCAGATAGATATTTTAAAAAGGAAAAGGAAACACAGCACACACAGTTTCCTGGTGAGGATTAGTGCAGAAAATGCGCATAGCCCTCCTAGGACCAAAGCTTAGGACTCACTGAAGGGAAAAAAAATAACTCTTTACTCCTAGGACCAAAGCTTAGGACTCACTGAGGGGGAAAAAACTCTTTAGCCGAGTAGCCAAGGATAAAAACAGCAAGTCAAGGGTAGGTGTGGCCTTCATGGGGGATTCCAGGAAGCATCTAGGTGAGTCCTGCTGCAATCAGGATCATGTGCTAGCTGTACCAGGGCTGTGATTCAGAAGGACTGCTCCCAGGATTGTGTCTTTAAAACAAAAAACACATGCGTTAATGATGCAGTACTATGTATTTGTTTGGTTTTTCAGTCACTAATGGAGGTTCCCTCCCCCCCCTTTTTTTGTTGTTGCAGGATCAGTTTGATAATTTAGACAAGCACACTCAGTGGGGCATTGACTTCCTGGAAAAATATGCAAAGTTTGTTAAAGAGAGGATAGAGATCGAACAGAATTATGCCAAGCAGCTGAGGTAAGTTATGTTTAAAATTCTGTTACTCTCCAATTGACAAGTGGCACAGTCTTAATTTATAAAGGAGTACTCATGAATTCATCAGAACTGAGAGTTCAGAGATTTCAGTCTTGGGGAAGTTTTTAAGGGCTGCTCATGTTAGTCTGTTGTGGCAAGGACTGCTGTAGTGACTCACTTGTTCTATAGTCATCACATTTTCTTATGGAAGGATGCTTCTCCGGATTACAGTTCAAGCATTTGATTTTTCCCTGTGTGCTTGCATCTCTGTGGATTCACAGAGGAGAGGACTATAGAGGCAAAAGTTGCATGGAAGCTTCCATGACATTTGCTTTATGTGGCTCAGCATCTCCCAGCCAAAAAAATAAAAATAAAAATAAGTTAAATAATCAGTGTATGGGCTTTTCCCTCTGCTTTTAGTGTGGTTTTGGCGACCATCAGTGATGCCATCTTGATCATGACTGAAATGTTGTTGCTTCAGTTTTCTGACTGGTGCGGGACTTTATAGGTGTTTAACACTGTGAACCTGTGTCCCTTGCCTTAAGGTGTGTGTGGAAACAGAAACATGAGAATATTTCAAGAGAGCCCGTTCTGTAGCACTACTGCAACATGTAGCAGTCTTCTGCCAGTTTTGTTTGTACACTAGCATGCTTTGATTCCACTAATTAACCTCCATTAATAGGCTAGGCAGTGAATAAAAACCCAGAAAATTCCAAAATAAATTTACATAAAATAATTGAATTCATTTTTCAATATGAAGAAGTTTTAGGTCTCTTTTATCTGACTCTATAGCTTCATCTTCTCTGTATGCACTTAACAATAAACTTGGGCTGGATACTAAAGGAATGCATTACTTATCAGCTGTTGTTTATCACAAAATAGCCAAGGTTGATTTAAAAGAGGAAGCAGTTTATTCTGTTTACTTCCTCTCTTTCAACAGCTGACCGTCCTAAAAGTTAATTCCCTTTGTTGTTCTTACATGCAAGTGTCCCCACCCCGCATTGAAGACTTGGGTTCTAAATGAAGCTTTTAAAAGTTATGTGACATATGTGTTCATCTAGACCTTTACAGGACAATTAGAAAACAGAGATGTGCGGATTTACCTAACTTAAAAGTTATGTGACATATGTGTTCATCTACAGGGCAATTAGAAAACAGAGATGTGCGGATTTATCTAACTTTTTTTTCTAAAGAAAGAAGGAGTTTAGTTTCTGTATTACAGATTTCCGTCAAACATAGTTCTGTTGTGACATGATACCGTGGGGTCTCTACAAGGGATTACTTGATTTGGAAACTGAGTAAAGTTATTAAAATTGTTTATCTTCTTCAGTTGGAAACTATGTAACTGTGTGTAGCCAAATGAAGATTTAGTTACCCAAATTACTATATTTAGAAACTTGGCAAGGCACCGGCATACTTTACTAGTTTGAATTCTAAACTGGAAACAAATGGTCACCATGTGGGACCTTTTTGCTCAAGTCTGTTTTACTTTAATTGAAATTGAAAACATAGGATGTTGATTATTTTCCAAGTGTAGATGTGGCAGATTTTCCGTGAGGAACTGTACAGATAGACTTTTTGTTCTAAGGAGATTTTTGTGCTGAAAGTTATACCACACCATTGTTAATCGACAAAAGCTTTTGTTGGATATAGTGTAGATAGTTCTATGCTAAACCTATGATACAAAGTCCAGATATAATTGAGCATTTTGCAATCCCACCGATTTTAGTGGGAACGTTTTAAGCAAGCGCTTAAAACTCTTCTCTTGATGTCTGATTAAAAGATTTCTGTTGAAAACTAGCATCCTTTAAATGCTGATCTCAGGAGAATAAAGTATTTTCAATCTCGTGCTTGAAAATTAACAACAATGGCGCCAATGCTGTCTAGGCCTGTGGCTCTCAGCCTTTCACTCTTCAGACATCTTCAGTTTTGCCTGCTAGATGACCATATTTTGGTCATAAGCAGCTTGTGATCAGAAGAGAACTGATGGATAGCGCAGTAGTTTAGTTTTCTGGTTGTGGAACCAGAGGCTGGGAATTTGATTTCCCACTATGCCTTCTTGACAGGGGCAGGACTTGATGAACCATAGAGTGCCTTCCAGCTCTGCAGTTCTAAAATGATGATGATGATGATGATGACAAGGAGTGCCTTCCTGAAATTCTGGAGTGAGATCCTGCCCTACTTAAACTGTTAGCTCCTTTTGCCAGTGGTCCAAGCATTCCTGAAACAGGATACCACCACTAAAATTGAGCTGCTTCTTTACCACTCCACAGTACTGAAAACCCTCTCTGGGTGATTTATAGTTCAATTGTGCAGGCTCCTCATAACTCTTATAGCAAGCTGGGTGTTCTGGATATTTACCAACCATGAAAAGGTGGAAGGCTGAGTGAACCTTGAGACAGCTACCTGAGCCCATTGGAATAGAATGCAGGACCTGAACAGAGTCTTGGCTGTAGTATTGCAGTTTAGCCACCAGCCACTACGCCCTGATTTCTTGTCACTGTCCCTCAGTGGAGTGAAGATGTTTCACTCTTCAGCATGAAACATACTTTTGCTTTCCTTTTGTGTTTAAGTTTCTGTGGGTAATTAGGTTTCATTTTGGCCCCACAAAAATGTGCAGTCATACCCCAAATGTAACATTTCTAATAACCTATACAGTACAAAGATAAGGGAGGTCAAATCCCTGCAGAATCATCACCAATTTTGTCCTGTTTTGAGACTGGGAAGTTTGTAGTTAACACAGTCTTGGAATTACGCTCTCCTGCTTCTTTACATGAGTACAACTCGTTGGGGAATTGCTTGCTCCAGAGTTTTCTAATTTCCTCCAGAGGTATGCACTAGAGATGGGGACAAATATAAAAACAGATCAGTTTTTCTGATGAATATAGCTGATTTGTCATATATTCGTCGATCTGTATTTGTAAAATTTTAAATCAGGACGAATATGTCTTGACAAGTATTTCCTTGCTTTTATTTGTCGATCTGTTCATATTCATATACAGTGATGCCCCTCATGATGACGATAATCCGTCCTGTGAAAATCACTGTTTAGCGAAATCGTCGTCATGCGAAAACCCTTTCCCCATTGGAATGCATTGAAACTCAGTTTAATGTGTTCCAATGGGGAAAATACCTCGTTGTCCAGTGAAGATCGCCCATAGGGAAGCCATTTTGCAGAGCTGAAAAACTCGTCATCTTGTGAGCAAACGGTTCGCGAAACACGGACCTATTCAATGTCCAGCGAAAATCCCCCATAGGAATGACTGTTTTGGAATCACTATAGCGATTGCAAAAAGTCGTTGTTATGCAAATTTGTGGTTTAGCAGGGTCGTCCTTTAGCGAGGTACCACTGTATATTCATTACCCATTTTGGGGGTCTCTCTGAGCTTGCTGGTGCCAATTCGAAGCTCTGGCAAATCAGGACAGAGATCCTGCCTGCCTGCCTGCCTGCCTGTCCTGTCCCTCTGTCTATCTGTCTGTCTGTCTCTCTCTCACACACACACACTTTCTCTCTCTCTATTGTCTATCTATCTGTCTGTCTGCCTATCTCTCCCTCTCTCCCTGTCTGTCTGTCTGTCTGTCTTTCTGTCTGTCTGTCTGTCTGTCTGTCTGTCTGTCTATCCAGTACACTGCTCAGACAGCAGAGAACAACTTCATTCGATCAGGAGGTCTAAAAATGCAATGAACGATGGAGCGCATGAATGGTCAGACGAGGAGGCCGAGAACAGTTGAACTCCAGCGTCCTTGCCTGCCTGCTGGGTTACATAGTCCCAGCGGGCTAAGTTTGTTCCATCTTCTGCCTCCCTGCCTGCCTGCTGGGTTACATAGTCCCAGCAGGCTAAGTTTGTTCCACTTTTTGCCTCCCTGCCTGCCTGCTGGGTTACGTAGTCCTGGCAGGCTGTTTCTTCCACCTTCTACCTCCCTGACTGGGAGGAGAGAACTCCTGCTTGGCACGTGTTAAACCACATCAGCTCTGCAAACTGAAGCCAGGTGATATGGTGATGGGGTGACATTCAGACAGTCTTTGGTTCGGGCAGACCCAGGCTGGTCCTCTTTGCATCCAAGTCTAAACCTTCTCTTGGCACACCCAGAGCCTGTCCTGGCACCCCCAAACATGACAAGAGGGTCAGACAACTCTCTTGGCACACACAGAGCCTGTCCCGGCACCCCTGAACGTGACAAGAGGGCCAGCCTGTCTCAGCACCCCCAAAACCTCCGAGGGCTATCTTTATCATATCCGGGTGGTCTCAGCAGCCAAGTTGCAATCCCACCAGCTTTCTAGTTCTAAATGAGCATCTTTGTTTGTTTGAAGGTTGTCAGCAAGTCTAGTTAGACATTGGTGGTGAGTGACAGGTGAGTTTCCTAGGCCTGTCTCAGACCCACCCAAAGCCTGTCCGGGCGTCGCCCCATTGCATGGCTTCAGACTGCAGAGCATCTGTTTCCAACAGCCCCGTGGCCCCGCGGATTAACCAACCTTAGTAGCACCAGGCTTGGACTCTTTTCTCCTTTTGGTGCTACAGTAGTTTCTATGGACGGAAAAGAGCAGATACGGATTAAATGGTTTTCAATGCATTCCTATGGGAAATGCAGATTCAACATAAGAACTTTTCAACTTGAGAACCACCTTCCAATACGGATTAAGTTCTTAAGTAGAGACCCCACTGTACTGATTCCCCAAGAGCCAGGCTTTGCCCTTCAAGCCTGTCCAAGTATCCCCCGTACCAAGATGGACAACAACAACAACAACAACAACAACAGCACCTATAACAAGCCCAGTGGCTCAACAGCAGTGCAGTTTAACCCACCACGCCACTGTCTACCTTGCTGTCAACTTACCTCAGTGCCCCAATGGGGCCCAAAAGCCTGTCCAGGCATGGTCCCATCACACGGCTTGAAACTGCAGAGTTTATCTTGTGCCAACAACAACCACCATCCCTTTTCTTCATCAATAACAAAACAAACAACACCATCACACGGCTTCAGATTCAGATTGCAGAACTGAT